TTTTATCTAAGTTGTCTTCTTCCTTTATCAACCCACAATGAACCCTGTTTTCAGTCTCTGTTGGAATACTTCCAGACACGATAAAACCAAAAAAAAACTGTATCTTGAAAATAAAAATCAGGATTATTCATTCGAATTTGACTCGGTTTCAAAAGTTCATAAAAAACTCCCGCTCCCAACAACATATCTACCTTTTCTGGAACATTAAATCCTTCATCTGCTAATTTTAAATTAGGAAGATCTTTTTGCACTGAAATTTTAATTTTGCACGAAGATGTTAAATCAGCAGTTATTTTTGGAATTACTAAAAAGTCCAAATTCTTTATAAAAGTTCCTTCTTTATTGCATATCAAAGCATTAATTTTATGCTTTATTGTCAAAGTAGCATCATTTATTTCTGAAACCAAAATGTTTGTTTTTTCTTTCTCTAACTGCAAATGCTCAATAAAATTACGTGTCAAGAAATTTGAGATACTACACTCACTTCAATCTGTGTTTTCTTCTCTCGTTATCAATTAAAAAACATATGATAGTTGAAAACAAAACTGTATTGTGTTTATTTGAATAGTCGCTAATAAATGCCTTTTGAATGAACTCCTGCCCATTAACATTCAAGGTCGATGAGTCATCTCATTTGGGAATGTTGCAGTCAGATACATTTGTTTTATTTTTATTTTGTTCCAATGAAGAACATTCTTTCTCCTTTACAATATTTGCTTTGGGAAAATGAATATTTTCTGGTTTCGTTTTTGACAAAAACAAGAATATTTCTACGGGCAATTTGATACTGAATGCATGTGTAGACAGTTAAAACATAATTTGTTACATTTCACAACCTGTACTCTTTCACAACCTGTACTTTCTTGTACCGGTAATTTTAAATATGATGGGCATTTAACCAAACCGTGATTCCTAAGGCATAAAATACAGTTCTCTATTTTAACATCTGAAAAAAACACTAATTCGCAATATCCTTATCATGTAAATAGGTTATTATATTCGAAGCTTCATCTCCTAACAGATTCAATAGAATTTCTGCTTTATAGTCGGTCATTTTTTGTGATAAATGCTCGTTCTAATGACAAAAAGAAAAATCCCCAACTCTCAGGCCATATAGGAATATTTACTCATTCTTTGATCTCTCAAGTTTTATTTGTTCTAACTCGACAAGTTTTTGCTGTTTTTGCTCTTCTTGTTTGCTATTTTCAATAATAGAGTTTGCTATCTCTTTTACTAAATAGTGTTTAGTTTTATAAATTTCAGTATTCTCAATAATATCAGTTAAATTTTCTATAATCATTTTTTCATCAACATTTAGATTTATTTCTAAGGCAATGAGCCTTAAATCTTCTTTTTTTTAGCACCCTTAAATAACATTGTTATTTATAACACAAGAAAGCACAGAATGTACAAAATTAACAAGAGAGGAATCACTTACCTCTGCAGTGATTCACTTTTGATGAATATCCTTACCCAAAATCAGCGATATTCGTTGAAAAGAACAAGTTGGGAATACTGGCAAAAACAAACACTCATGCATTCTCAATAAGAAGCACTATGTATTCACGCACAAAACTCAATCTCCGACAGTGACCAGATATGTTTGGGTTCTCATCCCAAATAACACACACTATAATAAATTTGCTGTTTTTTTATTTTATTAATTCTCATAATTAAAATTACAATCACTCATTATTAACTCGTAGCTGTGACCAGCACTCGTACATCGTCGATGGTAATTCTCAAACTCATCTGATGATAACATTACAGATGCGCACGCGGGATTACATTACAGGTGCGCACGCATGAACATGAGCAAATGTTGTTTTGCATATGCTGTATAAACTTTTCTCTGTGTCTCTAATTACATTAGTAACAGGCTTTATAAATGATCGAAATCAGTTTTTTAACTCTTGATGTATTTCTATAAATTTTGCATGCAAAGTTATGGAAGTTTCAGTGTTTAGCTAACTAAAATATAGTGAATATTTTGCTGACTGGAGTTTTTCTTCTTTGAGAACTGTATAGAAAATTAAGTTTTCATTATAGAAACATCTTTATCCACAATGTTAACATTGCTTTTTTTTTAATTTAATTTTCTTAATTTTTTATTTTTTATTTTTGGAATGGCACCAAATGTAATAAAAATATGGTGTGGCAAATGTAATGATGGAATGTGGGATCTATAAAGAAATATAAAATTTTAATTTTATTTACTTTGGGGGTAAGTTACTTTAGTAACTTATCCCCAAAGGATGACACTTCAAATAATGTGAACTAAGTAATATTTAAGACACAATAACATGCCGAATAAATACTAATTCAGAAGTCAAACAACAAAAATCAGCATTATATTTACAAAATTTTCACAGGACTAGTTTTGATGGTTTTACCGAACTACCATCCTCAGCTGCAAAACCGCAAATGAACGAGACAGAAAATAATGATTAGATAAGATAAGAAAGCCTGGACAAGAATAAGCAAGTGGCACCATCTGTTGGTGAAACCAGAACTAAAGCATAATTTCTTTAAAGGCCGAAGACAAAGCTGGATTGGAATTAGGATCTTTAACTAGAACAGAAAGATTTTTATGAATGTGAAATACCTCTAGAAAATCCAGTTCTCCAATGGAAGATGTTTTTTGAATAATTTTGGCAGCAGAAAAATTGAAAGTGTGATTTTCGTACCAACAATGTTGAGGTACAGAAGACTTCTGTGTTTCCTTTTTTCTAACATATGCCTCATGTTCCTTGATGCGAAATTTTAAGGCTCTCTTAGTTTGGCCAATGTTGAACTAAAAGAACTTTGAACACACTAAAAGGCACACTCTTGTTTTAGGAGATTATAAAAATTCTGTTGTCATTCCCTTCTTTCCATCAATTAGCTATAAAGTTGCACATATTTTGCAGAAATTTAACTTTCGGGTTGTTTATTCTCCCATCAATAAAATTCCGGGTTCCATACTCAAGGACCCCATTCCGGATATGAATTCCTGGGGTATTTATAGGATTCCTTGCTAATGTGGTTTAATTTACATTGGCCAAACTAAGAGAGCCTTAAAATTTCATGTCAAGGAACATGAGGCATATGTTAGAAAAAAGGAAACACAGAAGTCTTCTGTTGCTCAACATTGTTGGTCCGAAAATCAGTGTTTCAATTTTTCTGCTGCCAAAATTATTCAAAAAACATCTTCCATTGGAGGACTGGATTTTCTAGAGGTATTTCACATTCATAAAAATCTTTCTGTTCTAGTTAATGATCCTAATTCCAATCCAGCTTTGCCTTCGGCCTTTAAAGAAATTATGTTTTAGTTCTGGTTTCACCAACAGATGACGCCACTTGCTTATTCTTGTCCAGGCTTTCTTATCTTATCTAATCATTATTTTCTGTCTTGTTCATTTGCGGTTTTACAGCTGAGGATGGTGTTTAGGTAAAACCATCAAAACTAGTCCTGTGAAAATTTTGTAAATATAACGCTGATTTTTGTTGTTTGACTTCTGAATTAGTAAGTAATATTTATTATAACTTGACATCATAAAATTTTGAATTAATACCACCATAAATTAAGTAAATATTTCCAGACAGAAGCATCGCCGTGATCGAATAGTGGTTGAAAGAAATGGTCCTACCATTCTGAATCCTAACCTTTCCTACAAGAAATGTGTAATACTCTAATCAAAGTGAATCTCAGTACATTGTCTTTAAACAAAGTTTCATGATAACAAAAGTCAAATTTTATAACAGAGGAAATTGAGTTGACTGGTTATTCCAATATATTTTTGAAGAAGCACAAGCCGGATATTCATATCATCCTGAAAGTGGAACACGTGCGCATGAAGTTCTTTCGAGGATATTTCAATTCCAATATATTTTTGAAGAGTCGTAGATACTTGTTAATTTACTGAAAGAGTCAGCATCTAGATAATTTTAGTTGAATCTTCAGTACCAATTTCTTTACTCGGCGAAATGCATTACTCTACACACAATATGGAGATGGCAGTCAAAAAAGAACGAAGAAAAAACAAACATGGCGCACATGTCAGCCAGGGTCAAGACAGCTAGAAGAATGACCTACACCTTCGGAGCCCAACAGCAGAAGGAAGTAAAACTGGTTGTAGTTGTCAATTTCGTTCTGTCACTGAGCGGTCGCAGTGAACAGACTTGATGTTGAATAAATGTGGAGGCTTGCCTGCACGAGTACATATATACAGGGTGATCAAAAGAAAACCTTCCCCAATATATAAACTCTTACTATCCTATCCGCTCAGCCAACTGAAATGAAATTTCAGGTAATGTTATTTGTAGTTATCTGCTTAAAATTATGCTGATATAAAACTGTAGGAGTTCTTTTGGTTAAAAAATCAGTGGACAAATTTATGAATGGCAACACCCACTTTTTTTCCCTGCACAAATTGACTGGTGCATTGAAAAACGGTAAATGGCATTGGAACAAATAACAGTATCTGAAAGTTCACTTCAGTTGATTAAGCAGATAAGCAACTAGGAGTTCAGATATAAATTTTTTTAATGACCCGTATGTATATCTATATTCTGCTCTGTTACTATCTGGTTAAAAAAATTGTAGCTTAAAGTACTATATAAATGATGAACAATAATTTTTTTTTTTTTTTTTTTTTTTCAAAATAGCATTAGAATAAGTCTATAGATATCAAAAACTCATTCATAAGTGATATTTTTCTACTTTATCTTCAAAATGTAATCTCCAAAATGATGTTAGATAACAATTAAGGTATTATTATTATTATTATTATTATTTTTATCTTTCAACTTTTAACTGAATTGACTTTTGTCAAATATAATTACTGTTGTGTAATAATAAATTACTGTTGTGTTAAAACAAATTGTTTTAAAAGTATTTAAGCATGAGTTGTAAATAAGAGAAATGAGAATAATGGTTAAAAATTATTTATTTTTATAAGTGTTTGTAAGTCTGAAATTTACCATGCGAATGATTAGTGTATGATAAATTTTTGTTTCAGGTTTTATTTTTGGATGAACCAACTTCAGGAATGGATGTTGAAGCAAGGAGGAATGTTTGGGATGCTTTGCTTGATTTGAGACATGATCGTACTATTATCTTGACAACGCATTACATGGAAGAAGCAGATATTTTAGGTGATCGTGTTGCAATAATGGCTGAAGGAGAAATTCAGTGCTGTGGTTCACCTATGTTTTTGAAGAAAAAATTTGGTAATAATATCTGAAACCTATCATTAATTTTATTATATTATTATTCCTTTTTTTCTTTGCTGCCTTTTATCCACTGATATTCTGAGAACTCAGAAATTAAATTAGGGAAAAATCTTAAACTGACATAAAATTATACTGTCTGTTAAAAATAAAACAAAAAATACCAAAATTTCCTTGTGTTATTTCATAAAATATCCGTTAGGGTTTAAACAATAAATATTTTAACTGCATACAAAATAATGCTGCTATTACTGTAATAGATCATATGACAAAGAAAGCCATTTTTGAAGAGATATGAAAATCAAAATGAATTATTTACTGTATAGGCACATGTGAAATACTTGCTTTTGCTTGTTGTAAAATAGTCACTTTTATGCCAGAAGGATGTTTTGCAATATGCTAGTAGTTATTATTTTCTGTTTAAGATGCCTTGATTTAAAAGTGGATCTTTTTTTTTTTTAAATATGTAAGATAGTTCAGTGACAATAACAACAGAAAATTTAGAAATTAATTAAAAATCTTTCTGCAACAAGTATACAATAAATTTAATTTTTGAACTATGATGTTTTGTGTGTTTGTGAAAAATTAATTTGTCAGTATGTTATGATTATTTGATAAGACAGACAATTTGTTAGTGAGATTATCTAAAAAATTTTTCAGAACAATTATCTTAACCTTTTTCTGAGGCTATATGCCCCACACTTTCACTACATTAAGTAAGGCTCAAAGAAATATTATTTGTTATAGAAATTTAAAATTTGCTACTTAGTGCAAAACAGAAAATGGCAGATCCTGTCAATCTGCTTTTCTGTTCCTTGTTAATTGAATAGTGACTAGTTGACTAAATGGCTTCAGTATGTAAAAAAAAAAAAAAAAAAAAAAAAAAAAAAAAAAAAAATTAAAAATGGTCTTTGCAGCTCACATTAAAAGGTTAGTACATGTGACTAGACCTATTTCTTTAAATTTTTTGTATTTTTTCATCTTGCTGTTATAAATTTGGTTTTCATTTTTTACAAAATCTTATATCAAATTATTTTTCTGATGTGCTTTATTTTATTATAAGTTAATATTTATATTGATAAGTGCGATAAAATTTTTAGCCCGTTGTTAATCTTTAACAGTTGTAACATATTAATATATGAAGCAATTATTACAACATATTATATTCATATATTATTCACAACATATTAATATATGAAGCAATGATTTAAGAATATATTTACAAACCAAAAATAAGATAATGTTTTGTTATAGTTTGTGTGATGTATTATGTAAAAAACTGTATGTATGGATCCGAAGAAACTTGTTTTTCAAGGAAATTGTGGGCATGAAATTTCTTAATGAAAGTATAATTTTTATGTCATAATTGTAAAAGTATGTTCTGTAATTTCTCTTTTCCTTCTAATAAATCTGAATTCCTAAGAAGTAATCTATATGTATAGAATATACAGCATAAGAAACAAATATTTTAGATAATATGCTGTAGGCAGTAATATGTTACAATTAAATATTTGATGTTATTTTAATTCATTTCTTTTTTACTTTTGTATCCATGTATCAAATAGTGTGCATAATTTTTAACTATTTCAGCAGATTTCCGTAAATTTTCTGAAAACTTAGAATCTGAGAAGCTTTTATTACAAGTAACAATTAATAAAGTTTTTCTTCTATATTGATTTTTCTTCTTTCACTGTATTGCTAATTTTTTTTTTTTTTTTTTTTTTTTGTATGATCTTAAATTCATTCACTAATTGCAGCATACTTATTAAACTATAAACAAAATTTAAATTTTGAATCTCTCATTGTTAAACTTTGATCATATTTTTTCAGTTGGAAGCTCACTTTCCAAGCTGAAATTTCTAAATTAATTATTTATTAATTCATTGGAACACTTTTGTGCAACATTAGGGGGGAAATCGCAGTGATGTGTTGCTTTATGAAGAGTACTAATTGCTAACCTCCTTTTTTTCTGATTTGACAAATCTTTAAACACTCATAAGATTCATTCATGTGGCTTTATTGCTATTATAATTTAGTAGCAGGGTTTTAATATTTTTTGTTTTTTAAACATCAAATTTCTTCTGTTTTGGGGACAGAAATCAGGTATTCAGCTATGCATGTTACAAATTTTGTGCATATGTAAGTAATTTTAGTGAAATTATATGTAAAATTTTAGTATTTCTTTTGTAAAATGTAGCATGAAAATGTAAAGAAGTGAAGCTTTGCCGGAAAATTAAGAATACAGGGGCAAGTCTTTTTAACCCTTTAACTTTTTAACCCACACTAACTTTCACTTGAAGGAAATGAACAAAAATAATTTTTTGGGTGTATTGGAGTCTAATTAAGAGAAAAAAAGTTACAGGAAAAAGGCATTTATTTATATATAAGATACAAAATGTTGTGAAAATGCAACATTAGTCAAAACCGATTATTTTGGGGATACATGGAAATCATTGAAACATTTGCTATGCAAAGGCACATTACATTTATTACAAAATGTTATTATTTGACTAACACGGTATTTGCACTTTTTTCTTTTGTTTCTCGATTTTTTCTCAATAATGTGATTTGTGTGATCCTTTTTCATTTTGCTAAAAGCCAAATTTTGAAATAAAGATGGTTGGCCAACACTATGAAGACGAAGGCTACAAATTGTCAGAATATTCCTCCCTTGTTTTCTGCAATGCCACTGCAACACTTCTTTGAAAATCTAATAGGAAAATTTTGGGGTCTACTGCAATCTTGTAAAGTTTCTATGCATTTGAATAAGCTACATCAATAAAAATTTTTAAAATAGGCCACCATCATTTCTTACCTTTTTCTTGCACTCTATACTTCGCAAATATGCATATTTATACCATACAAACAAAATGGTCCTAAAGATCCATGTATTATCCATTTATATGTTGTAATTTCCGATTGGGTTGTTTTACAAATACAGGTTTGTTTTCTTTTCTTGAGTATCTCTTGGCTACTGAAGGTGGATCATTTGCTTCAAAATTAGTTGCCATAGTTATGACAGAATTGTCATTCCATCAAACTACTGCAATGCCATGCTCCTTATCAAATGCAGGGTGATATGTTTCATGTTCTTTTTCTTTCATTTTGTTTACATGTACTATAGAACAATTTCCTAATGTATTCTATTGAATTGTTCCAGTGGCATGAAATCCCAGCTGATTTAATTCCGACAACAACCTGTGTGATGTAAAACAGTTGTCGAAATGTATGTAATGATTTGAAGGAACTTCCACTACACTTAAGAAACGTTTTACATCTCCACAATGATATAAATAGGCTTCAGAGGAATACAAACACCAAACTTTGTACCCAAATTGAACAGGTTTTCCTTTGAGAAGTATTTTGCATGAATGTCTACCAAAGTAAGGTATCATTTGCTTGTCAGTAGAAAAATGCATTGGAAAAATCTCATACTGCATGAAATTGGCATTTAAAATATTTAAATAGGGTCAAACATTAGCCAATTTATTGGTTTTATCTAATGCATTATTATCAGCTACATGCAAGTCCTGCTTGATATTAATGTATGTAGAACGAAAGTATCATTGCTGTGCGTTCTAATGGACAACTGACATTTTCATCAAGAGACCAGTAAAGTCTTTCAGAAGGGAAGGTGTACCTAATGAGAGTAAAGCAGAAAGCCTGCAAAGCACTTCAATATAGGAAAAGAAAGAGAAAAAAAAATTGTCGATTTTTTTCTGATTTGCATATTTTACACTTTCTTGGGTGACATGTTCCAAAAGATTCTGATTATATAAGTGTAAAAATATATCTACAGGCTTTAGATCAGGCACTTTTTCTGAAATTATTTCCTTTTCTGCCTTTTCTATAGATTCATTGTTGACAAGCATCACTGCATATGCAGGAGAAATTTTCCAATGTTTTTTTCTTTTTTTTTAAGATGATTCAGAATTTTTTAAATAATGTTTTGATAAATTCAATGCTTTTTTTTTTTTTTTTGTTAACGAAAAAACCTTGATCTTATTTGATACATCTCTCAGTATAAGCAAATTATCACCTAGCACGTCACCATCTATGCATTCTTCATCGGTTAGAATGTCTGGGTCTGGGGAAATCACTACTAAATCTGTGGCATCTTGACCAATCATCATCTCAAGAAAGTTCTGAAACATCATGTTCATACAGCTTCATAAGTTTTAATGCTTCATTCAATGTCAAAAACCATTGTCTTGAAAACCCATTATTTCAAGACATTATTTTTGAACTGTTGTTTTGTGGAATCTTTAAACGAAAAAATCAATGAAATTTGTGTATATTCCTAAAGACACGATGTTGAACTGATGTTGCATTTTTGCAACATTTAAAAATATGCATATTTATACGATCAAAGACAAAATAATAACCTAACCTTTTGATGCCATTTTATTGTCTAATGTTTCTAGAAGACTGTCATGTGTTCATAAAATCATTTGATTGGTTGCACCTTTTATGAGATATACCCAAAGTTAAAAGAAACAAAATTGCAAAAAAAGTACCAATATGATCAATTTATTTTTCATAAATAGTTTTTATGGGAGAGAAACAATTTTTTTCTCTAAAGAAACTTTGATGCTTTTTGTACAATATACAAAAAAGATAAAGAAACGAACATTTTATAGAAGATGGAAAAAAATGTTTTGATTAATGTTGCGAAAATGCAATGTCAGTTGCTAATGGGTTAACATTAAGTATTGAGGGTTATCTCGCTAAATTGGCGAGATATCGCCAAGATGGTGATGGTTTTAGCCTTTGATTTTTGTCATCCAAATGTGGCGAGAAATTGCCAAACTTGGAGACATTTTGGTTCGGTTCCTGTATAACTGTAGGGGGTATTGTAATTGATTCTATATATAGCTGTAATCATCAATGGCTGGAGAAAAACTATGTAATACTGGGGAGAGCATCAGTTTCTCAGTAAGAGCTGTTTAGTTTAGCGTTAGTTTGAAGTATTGAGATATCTCCATGTGAGCTATGCTCTTTAGATGCGCTTTGTATTATGTTGTGTTTAATGTTCTTAGTAGTTTGAAGTGTAACTTATGATTGTACTCGGTGATACTGTGAAGAACTGTATGAATATTTTTGTACAAAGTTTCAGAACTGTGAAGTGTTTCTTTCAGTAAAATAAATTTTATCAAGCCATCACCAGTTCTGTGCACATTCAATCTACGTATAATAGCTTGTGATATTTAACTCATAATGTAGAAAGATTAGAACTTTAATAGTATGGAATCAGTTACACTATATCTTAGTTTGATATCTAAACTATCTCACAATAAATGAACTCTCTTTTCAATATTGTATGCATGTGCGGTGATTAAAAGATTCTGTTGTATTTGAGTTCGAGGTTCCAAGTTGTGTAACCATGATGTTCTTGAAACAGGAGAGCAGAGTCATTAGAAATGTATAAAAAGGTATGATAAAATGTTGCTGAAATCCACTTGAAGCAATAGGGCTGCAAAAGAGGGAGAAAGCATCTGTAGTTTTATTGTTTCTGTTCTTCATCTGTAGTTTTGTTGTTCTGTTCTGTATTTGTGGTTTATCTAAGTTCCATTTGTTCATTTCAGATTATCTAAAAATTTTCTGATTTGGAAGTAATCATTAACATTGAAGAAACATAGGCAGTATCTTCTTAGCTGGAAAAAAGCTGTAGGAAATTATATTAGAAATACTGAATGAGAAAGAAATGTGCATGTGAATTTTAGTGCATGAGAAATGGTCCAGACTGTATGAACCGAAACTGAAATACCCATTTTTTAATAGCATTATTGTGGTTGTCATGAAAAAATTTCATCCGAATTCTGACTCTGGGGAAATTAACGATGATTCTCAAGTGCATATGTGGTGACATTATGCTAAGGCATATTATACCTCAAGAATGGATCATCAGTATGCAGTATTAGTATTAATTTTTGAAACTTGATCTATAGCTATCATTTTATGAGAAGAGATTATAGTTCTTCTGAATTTGTGATCGTTTTGAAAGGTAATACTCTGGTGCGTATAGTGTAACCTACTGTCTGTCTATTAGATGAACAGCTACCGCCACAGTGTCTGGCGAGTGGTGGTCACTGTAGTAACAGGGCTAGTATATTTCAATTAGGATTGAACCATAGGTTGCCAATTCATCTTTAAATGCACTAAGATGGCAAACTGAAAAGTAAATCTTCAAGATACCCCTATGGAAAATGGGTCAAGGCTCATTTCTACGGCAACAGATAGCTGCAGACTAACTGGCGAGAGCTTTTCTTATAATAGACAGACTGTACATTGACCAGAGTTCAATCCAACGAAATATCAGGTATTTGTTGGAAAACTTTTCTGCCATCCGCCATGCTTCCTGCACTTAAACCCCTATGTCTATAATTTCATTTCTGATATGAAAGAATCATGTCATGCCATTCTCATTCCAAATTCTTCCTCATATTTTTCAGGCAGTAGACTGCTTCATTCAAATCATCACTAGAACAAATATTACTATAAATTGGTAACTACTTCAAAGTACAGAAAATGCTTCACAAATATAACACTTTTGTTTCATTTGTAAATAAGTAGTTATCACTCCTGAAGTTCTATCCACTGCAGTTTTCCTTTAAAAATCAAGTCTTATCTAAATATGATTATCAGATTAAAATATGCATTTTGGCATTTTCTGAGTCTTTGCTGCCAATTAATTGTAAGAGGATTTCATGTACATTGACCAGTAATAACATTGACCAGTACATTGACCAGTATGTAAATAATATAATTTGAATTTTCTAATCTCTCTAAAGAAGCTATCTTTAGATAGGTAAGTAAGTAAAATAGAAGAGGGTAAATAATATGAATTTCTTGAGCAGATTGTTTTCTTGTACATAAAGTACACATTTTAGATAATTTCTAATAATTGTAGGTTAGATTAGTTAAGATTGGTTTGGATTAATTGTTTATGATCAAACATAACTAGGGTTGTCTGGAAACTAATGAATTTGAGGGACTTTGGAATGAGAGGTGATACCTTATTTCATAAAGCTTCATTTTGGAGCATGTAAAGTTTCGTTTCAAATCATTTCTTGTTTTACTGTGCAGTATCTAAGTTCCATTTGTTCATTTCAGAAGATGTAAAAAATTTTTGATTTGGAAGTAATCATTAACATTGAAGAAACATAGGCAGTATCTTCTTAGCTGGAAAAAAAAGCTGTAGAAAATTACATTAGAAATTCTGTATTCTATAGTATTATGAAGGAAAATGCATACAATGAATACTTTATATGTGTATATAATAAATTAAAAACTTCTTAAAATGTGTATTTATTTATTAATTTATTTACTGTTTATGAAATTATACATAAAATAGTTTAGAAAATATGAAAATAAATGAAGGCAACAGATGGATTAAAAACGCTATGAAATAAAATGTAATATTTTTAGCCATTAGCTAATTTTATATTATTTCTTATACTAAATTTCATTTTTATTCTATGTCATTATTTGCAATTGTTAAATCTGTTTTTAGGCACTGGTTATCATTTGCATTTGGTGAAAAATGAAAATTTTGATCTGAATAAAGTAACTGAATTGTTGGAAAAGCATAAGCCACAATCTGTCATAGAAATGAATACTGAGAATGAAGTTACTTTTAACCTTTCTACTGGTACTGATTCATCTTATGGAAATTTATTTAAGGATCTTGAAGATCACAAAGTAGAATTTGGTGTTGATTCTTTTGGTGTCACAGTCACAACAATGGATGATGTTTTCCTGAAGTATGTGTTTCCTTTTCTGATGTTTGTTTCTTTTGTTATTTTATGAGTTTTTATTGCATGTAAACATTTTAAAGCATTTTTGGTTAACATTTAGAGTTAGTTGCTGTCAGACTGTACAGTACAATGCACAAAATTCAGATATCCAATATCCAGAATGATCTAAAATTCCGACCTCCAAATCACCAGTAGCCTTCCCCCTCCCTTTATTTTTTAGAAATTTGTTTATGCCTTACGGTTGCGCATTTGATATTTTTTCATAATAAAACACATGGGGTGTCCCAATTCTTAATTTCACTTCAGCATTCATGTCTAGGTGACAAATCATTATTTATTAATTTTTGCTTTCATCGCCCCATGACTATCAATACAGCTTAATAAATGACCCATGCAGCGATGTCTAAAAATTAATTTTTTTTTCTTTTAATATTAGTAATGGAATACCAAAGAGCATGGTGACTTTTTAAAACATCACGCATGGCAATGATAACAGACTTTAGCGAACTCCACAGTGAAGTGTTGAATGTGTTGTTGACAAAAAGAAATTTAACAGAAATTTTTTCCATATCCAAAAATTGATTTTATAAATGATACTCATAGGTCAAAAGATTGCAATTAGTATTGTTTGAATGGAAAATAACTGATTTATTATTCAATTAAGCCCAGGGCTTGTGCAAGATCTGGTGCATCTGCACTGGGGGGTCGGCAGAATTTAGGGGAGGGAAATTTTTAGAATTTAGAGGAGCACCCAGCAGCAAAATTAAGGGATGACAAAATCTTTAGAATTTTGTTAAGGCACTGGGATGTAAAATTTAGATGCGGCAAAATTTTAAGAATTTAGGCAGTTACTTGGTAGCAGAATTTCAGACCCGCAAAGATTGTTCCAAGCTACAAAATGTCTGCACCAGCCTTGAATAAGACTTAAGTTTATGCGGGAATTTATTTTTTCAGGGCTTGGATAAGCCTTAAGCATGTGCGAGAAATAGCCTTAAGTATAATAAAATACTAAAATAATGTCATTCACACTTAATTTCATCAGCATGTGATAGAAACAAGACAAAATTTAGTGGAACATATGTTTAGCTGCCAATCTCATGATATATTGGCAACAGTGTATAGTGATTGCTAGCTAAGCCTTGTGATGATAGCCAGGAATTTGAAGGTTTTTCAGTTATCACAAACAAAAAGTGAAATTTTCTAGCTAATGGAATTTGTGAAGAAAAGTTGAAATATAGCAATAATTGAAGATGATATGACAGAAGCTCTTCATTGTGATGACAATGCCTTAATATGAATCAACTAAGGGATAGTGAAATTTGTAGTATGGTTCTAAATCCAGTCTTGCTGTATGTTCCAGAAAATAATATTGCTACTGATAGTGAAGAAAATGACAGAAAGGTTGTTGAGAATGAAAAAGCTTTGATTGACAATTTAATGGAACCTCTCGATGCAGCAATTACAGGACTTGAATAAAGGAACTTTGTAACAGAACAAGAAATTATGTCTGTCTATAAAATTAGTGAAATATGTTAGCACAAAAACTGAAGCAAGTTAAACAACATATCTTCAAAGAAATGTTTAATAAAACAAGCAAACAAATATTGAGCTTCTTCTTCTTCTTTTTTTTTTTTTTTTTTTTTTTTTATCTTTTTTAGGTCATAAATGTATCATTATTTCATATTTTTAATTTTATAATTTCTGCACGTCATCTTACAGGATTTAAATTGATGATCTAATATTTGGAAAAATTGCAAATGGCCAATTATTTATCTCTTAGATGGCATTCAAACTACTATTTTTTAATTCAAATGTGTGATAAAAGAGCAGGAAATAGAAATGATTCAAACAACAACCAATTTTGGTGCTATCATCTGAAAAATAAATAACTAAAAGTGGTAGATTGCAAACTGTATGATTATCGTATTATTTATTTGAAATACACTAGGGTGATTGGTTACCTACTAAAGGATTTCACTGATAATGAAATGGAAAGGGGGATCTTAAATATTTTTTGTTGCCATTATTTTGTTATGAATATGATGCTTTCTTTCAACCCATACTCCTGATTATTGTTTCTCATTTTTAAGACATTTTAATTTCACTGTAAACCTTTCATCACACTTTTTTTTTTTTTTGTGGTAGTTTTGTACATAACCTAAAAAATGAAATCTAGGCTCATAAAGGGCTTAAATTAAGTTTAAAATTATATTTTGGAGTAAAGTTGAAATATTTCATAACTAAATCCTTTTGTTGATCAGCTACCATAGCTACAAAGCCAAAGAATTATTTTTTTCAAAATTTAGCTAGAATCCAATTTCATTTGTGAAAATAATGTTATGGGAAGTGAATTGACAAATGTATGAAAGTAACATGGACATGTGATTCAAGTGTTAGTAATTTTTTACCAATAATAATATTGAAAATTTCCCCCTTTAAAAATATTGCTTTATTACAGTGTTGCAAATATTTCGGATTTGAAACTCAAGTTACAAGCAAATAATAGCATACAAAATGAAACTGCATTAGAAGTTGAAGGTAAATATAATTCTGTGTTACTATAGTTATCACTATTACTATCTATGTTACTATAGTTATTCTATGTTAAAAAAGGCTTTTTAACGCCTTTGCCAGCCCTCTTCCTCCCTCCCTTAATTTGTGATTATAACTCATGTTGTCATTACCACACAGTATTTATTTTCTCCATGTCATTTGAGACTGCATTTTAAGTCAGCCTTCCTTTGCATGTTTTTTATGCAGCAAAACATGCTAAATAGAAATAGAGTGGGTTGAAAAATTTTAGTGAATTGCCTTTTTTCCCCTTAGCTGTTGTTTCAATGGTTATGGGTCAAGTCAGGAGGCAGAAAATAACTTTGAAACTTCTACTTGAAAGCAAAAAACAATAGTGTAGCTGTTAATTTTTGAAGTTATAGATAAAACTGTTACTGCCTAAATTATTTTATTTACTTCTGAAATTGTATTGTTGAAATCAATTAACTGGGATGATTGTGGTCTGGATATAGCTAGAATTTTTTTATTCTAGAAAATTCATATACACTTAATCATCATTATATACCTTACTATGTCATTATATATACAGGTAATCATCGTGGACAGAATTGATGATAAATATATCCAATCAATTTTTATTTGTGCAGAAACTGCAAAAATTATTAAGAATTTTGGACAGATTAATTCTGAAAATATTTATTTTCATTAAACATAAATAAATGTAAAAATTTTGAATTAGAAAATCTCTATCAAGGCTGTTATTGGTAAAATTTTTAGAATTAATTTACTGAATAGCTGGACAGCTTTCCAAAATTCTTGCAATTTTATTTCAGTTACCATACACACACCCTTACCATATAATGTATCATATAAGCACAATTCGTGAACCATTCTTTTATTAGCAGCTCCTCATCTGTTAATACCTATTAATATGCACACTGCAGGCTCTGATCTTAATACTTGAAGGGTTAAATGGAAAGTTTTTATCTATATTAAAGTGTTTTGCTGGTCGTACTGAACATTTAGTTGTTAACGAAGAAAAATATTAATGTAGCCCTTCCCAAAAAGCAAGCTAAACAATTATTTTAAGAAATGTTGAGAAACCAAAAAGCGAAGTACCTATGTGAAAGGATGTAGTAAAACATGCTACAGGGTTGCCACGCTACCTGGAACACCGGAAAAAGTCAGGGAATTCGGAAATTGACCAAAAAATTCAGGGAAAAGTCAGGGAATTTAAGTGTTTTAGTCAAAATCTGGAAAAGTCAGGGAATTTCACACAACGATCCCGCCAAAAATGGCGAGTTTTGCGCTGATGTCGGAAGAGATCACTTTTTTGGTGAATTGTGTATCACGTGAGTGTCATTCGGGCAGCTGGCATAGAGCCAATTATCGCAGCTCCAATTTGATTGTCTTTTAGAAAGGCAAATCAAGTTTCCCGCAACTTTTGGTTTCCAGTAACCTCGAAAATCACATGTGCAGTGCATGAACTAAAGAAAATACCTGTTCTCGAATAAAACAAAATGGGTTTAATCCTAGTATACGGTACCATGAAGGTTAGAATCAAAAAATATGTATTGTAAAGAAGGAAAACCTCTCTGCAACAGACGTGGCTCCGTTCCATCATAGAGGGAAACAGCTGTGCATGCGCGATATATCTGTCGCCAAAGCTCGAAACCGGTGTCGAAGTTCGAAGGTCACGTTATCAAGAGTTCATAAAATGAATATCGTTTAAAATTTATTTAAACTCTAAAGGAAAAGAAAATATTTTTTGGTGCAAGTAAATTAATTCATGGATTAGTTATTTTGAGGGAAGGGGAAAAAAAAAAACTACGAAAATCTGTTTTTAAAATTATTGTGAAAAATCCAAGAAAAAACATTCTTTGATAAAACGTTTCTTCTTGGATTTTTCTGAATAATCTAGAAACGGATTTTCCAAAAGTGATCTCTTTTTTTGTCAAAGAACGTTTCTTCTTAACACGTGTTTCTCAATTTCCTGTACACATCGCGGAGAGGGAAATTCTGGCCGCCAGGTTCCATCGCCAAATCCCTTGGCAAATTTTCCCTCCGCTTTCTAGTGGCGTAATAGCATTTACGTGTATGGAACCTTTTCTTCTGTACATAGACGTTCTTTGGTTAAAATAATCTTCATGTATGGTACAGCGGGATTTGGCGACATGGTGATGAGGCCATACTGTATACAGTCAAAAGTCGTTAATTCGGACACCCATAATCCGGACCTCAAAGCTACAAACTTTCTGCGCATGCGTCGCGTTCACGCATGCGCACAGGCGTTTACGAGAGCGCGTAAGACCCTTACGGCTGCGAATATGTTTGTGCGCATGCGCGTTTAAATTGTAACGGAGTTATACGCTAAGCTAAAGTTATCTAATTCAGTTAATGTTGCCGATTGCGTTGTTCCTTAATCTTCGAATTGGATCCGGCTTATTATTTTTTGCAGACTGTCAGAGCAATTTTATAAAAGTAAGCTTGAACGTTCGATTATGTCAAATAGAATTTCCGATATATATTTACTACAAAGCGAAAGTATGTTTTGAAATCCGAAATCTGTTTATCAATTTCACGCTGCTCTGCGGCAGAGGGGGGGCAGAAACGTCATTATTAGATTATGATAGATTAGAAAGATTATGTCAAATAGAATTTCCGATATATATTTACTAATATGTAATTTGTATCTACAAAGCGAAAGTATGTTTTGAGATCCGAAATCTGTTTATCAATTTCACGCGGGCCGATGGGAGTTGATCTGTCAACACTATCCTTATCTTCAGGGCAGATGTTTTTATTTTATTTGGTTTATAATTCCATACTAAGTGTAGTATTTCATTCTGTCTTTGATAGGATTTAAATCAAGTTCCTCGTCATTATAATTCGCTTCCGATAGTGAAGAAAGTGACCCAGAGGTTATTGAAAACGAAAACATTTCGATTGGCAAATTAGTCCGTATTCTCAACACAGCAATTATAGGACTTGAACAGCGGAACTTTGTAACTAAACAAGAAATTATGTCTGTTTAATAGAATTAAAGAGAAAGTATTATCACATGAAACGAAGCAACTTACATTGAAGGAAATGTTTAATAAAGTAAACAAATAAATATTAAGCTTTTTTTTTTTTTTTTTTTTTTTTTTTTTTTTGTAAATTTTGATACCCTTTAGATCATAATTGTTCTTTATTTCATAAATTACGGTTTCATATTTTTAATTTTGTAATTTCTGCATGCCATCTTACCAGATTTAAACTGATGATCTATAATCCGGAAAAATCGATAATCCGGAATCGCCGAAGTCCCGACGAGTCCGGATTAACGACTTTTGACTGTACTAGGATTTTACCGCAAAATCTTTTTTTGTTTCTTTTCTTTTTAATAAATACCTTGCCATTTTGCAGTAAAATAAAAAAATAGTAATCAGTCATCTAGGCTAACTATATTCGCTAAAATATCGTTGATTATTCTAATTCAATTTTTAAGTAATTATCTTTATTTTTATGTTATTCATGTCATTTAATGTTGCTTCTTCCCTCTAAATTTATTTATCATTAGTAAATAATATTTCTAAATTTCAGGAAATTTTCTCTGCCATAATCCTGAAATTAATTCTAGCAGTATGATGACATCACGAAATTTAATGCACATATATTTTCCTTATGTATGCTGCAAAATAAATATAAAATACCTCAATTTAGTGAAAACATATCATTAAATAGATTTCTTTCTTTCATTTAGCTGCAGAATGTCTGCAAAAAAAGCCTTATTTTATTCCAGATTGGGCAGATTCTAATCTCAATTTTCAGTGAAGAAAACAACTCCTATTATAATTATATTTGTGTTTTCAAGTGTTAAGGTGCCTTTTAAGAAGACACCTCACACAAATTAAATTTACCTAAAATCTAACCTAACTTTTAGCATTGCGTTGTGATTTATAAGAACCGGATTAGCCTCATGTTGAACTGGTGATGATCATGAGTAATAATTAAATAAAACGTACAATTGTTATACAATGTATATATCTTAAATTTTATTAAGTTTCTTAAGTGGAAAAGTAAACAAAATTATCAAACAAAGTGTACCAAGAATAATTAAGAATAAATGTCCTCTGAGATTTATTGAATAATTAAGTGAATTTGCTACACAGTACAAGTAATACCATAATTAATTTACCTCTTAGCACAGCCAATGAACATTACGCGAATAGACTGGAATTTTCTCGAAACATACCTGGGAAACCTGGAAAAGTCAGGGAATTTCATTCTCCTGTTTGAGTGGCAACCCTGATGCTAATCTTCTGTTAAAAAGATGGCACAACACATCATTTTTAGCTGTGTCTCTTTAATGGAAAAGCACCTAAAACATAAATTAACATTTGATGCATTATAAAGCATTATAAATTTTGTTTCTCAAATTAAATTGTGTGAAAATTTGTGTGTATGCATTATGTATATGTATCACATTAATGTTATGATTATTTGAAATTATGTCATATTTTTGCTTCAAGATAGTTTTTAGGATTTTTAAATGATGTCACAGTCATCCCTGAATTAAGTGCAGTGTACTTAAAATTTAAAAGAATTTTGATTTTTTGCGTATTATTAGTCTTTGTTTTTTGAATATATTCAACAAAATTTTCCTCAACTGCAGTTACATTAAGTGTTGAAAATGTTACAATGAACATGGACAAACAGAGAGACATAGTAAATATATGAATTTTATATATTATGCTTGCACAATTTTGTTAAATTTTTAGATTTCTTTTAAATAGAAGTTTTTGCATAATGTTATCAGTTATGTAAGTTTTTGCTTATATTTCTTGTTTTCTTTCTTTTTTTTTTTAGATCTATACGATGAAGCAAAGAAAGCACAGCCTTCTCCAAAATTTGGTGTACAGCTCTTTGGTCTTCTGACAAAACGTTTTCATTATGCTAAAAGGAATCTGCTCATTTTGATTTCTCAAATACTTTTACCATTTCTGATTATGATGTTCTGCTTTTACATAATTTCTCTGGGCTCTGGTCAAACTGTTGAATCCTTTCCAGCCTTGAAGTTAGATATTCAGAGTGTTTATGGCCAAACAATTGGGTTTTACCAAACAAATGAAGACCAAATTACTGCTGAACTAAAAAATATCTTTGAAGAAAATTCTGTGTCTGCAAAAGAAATTGATGATCCAAGTAAATTTATACTGGAATATAGTTCCACTGACTTCTCAGTATACTCAAACAAACTTCTTGTAGGTGTAACTGTAGAAAAGCTTAATAATGGTACTTTTATGTTAACAGCCTGGTACAATGGAGAACCATACCATGTAGCCCCTATGTCTCTTCTTCTTTTGCATACTGCATTGCTAAGATTCATTATAGACTCTGGCTCCATAACTTTAATCAATGCACCTCTACCGAGTGGCCAACAGTACAGCTATGATGAACTCAGAATGCATGAGCGTTTAATGGCAAACATTTTTGTTCCCTTAGCATTAACCTATATATCTGCTGCGTTTGTATTTCTGCCCACACATGAAAGAACATCAAAGGCAAAATTATTACAACTTATGACAGGAATTTCAGCTCCACTCTACTGGGCATCTATGTTTTTGTGGGATTTTCTTGTGCTTTTCGTTGCTTGTCTTGTACTCATTATCCCATTTGCCATGTTTACTCCTTATGCATTTTTCTTTTCTCATTCAGAAGCAATAGGTAAGTGTTCAATCTTCATAATTTGCATTTTTATTGTTAATTGTATTCTATTTTAATTAATCTTGTGTGCTTGATGTTTACTCATGACATTTCTAGACTTCAGCAATTGAGAATGGAAAGAACTCTTTTTCTAAAAATTAGTTATTTTCCAAATAAAGAAATATATTAAAAAAATGAAATTTAAAATTTGTATAAATATTGTTTTATAACAAAGCACACATTATCCATGGATCACATAAATCATGCACATTTGCAAAGCCCGTAACTGCTAGATCCTGAGGCTTTAACTTCCCCCCCCTCAAAAAAAAAAAGAAAGAAAAGAAGGAAAAAAATGGGCCTAGCAACTATGCGGTGGCAGCCCAGTTGCCTGGGATGGAATCTAAACTAAATTGAACTATCAGCATTCAATGGTTTTAACCACTTGGCCACTGGTTGAGCCATTAACTTTAAGAAGGTTTATTTATGACTTAAATATAATATTTCTTTTATATGACTTTCAAAAAATATCTAGCTCTGTCTTTTATCACAGTCTAAAACATCAAAAACAAACTAGGAAATGTATGAGAATCTGATTTTAGATATCAACATTATATTGAGTTATGTTATTATGAGTTATGTGTAGAAGTGTTGGTTCATAGATTTCATTAAAAATTTAAATCTGAAAGTAAATTTTCAGTATATGTATCAAGCATTTCATTGTGAAATCTGAATTTGATTTATAATTAATGTATTTATGCTTTTTAATTCAATTAACTAAAACTGCTAACCCATATTTCAGCAGTCATTTGACCACGTATGAATTGATTCTCATTCTCTTTATCGTCATGTTCCTCATGTCTTTCTTGAAATCAGTATTATTTGATCTATTTGTGATTATAATCTGTTTATGCTTTTTGAAATGGATTGGATTATTCAACTATGGCAAAGCACACGAGGGCTATCTGCCTAAAGGAAGCGATGCCTTCGTGGAGACTTTATAAGGGAAACTGGCTCATGTACATGTTACACATGGGGAAAACCACGAAAACGCCCATGCAGCCAGCCCGTTCGCAGGATTCAAACCTTGGACGGAACTACCAGTGTTCAGCGTCTTTACCACTTGGCCACTGGTGGGCCTTATGCTTTTTGAAACTGCTGAATGCAGAATATGCATTATGCTATTAATTCAACTACTTTTTCACATTTTCCCAAGGCATAGCTAATCTCATATTTCATCCAAACCAGTGTCTCTGCTTTTGAATTACTTAGAAAATCTGTACTGGTATTAGCAAATGTTTAGCCATTTAGTTGTATTGTCTATGTCTTAGCTGTTAGTGTGCCTATTTTGTAGGAGGTATACTTGGAATTTCGCTTGCTGATGAATTGAGAAAGCTTTCTTATTTTCAGTATTATTTTTAAAGACATATCCCTTTGGAACGAAACTAATGCAGCACCAATGCTCTGAGATCCAAAATCACTGAGACTTCAGCGATTCTAGAGTTTGGAAATTTTTAGATTTTAGATCATTAATTAGTAATAGAACATAATCTAGTAACATAGCATGCAGAAATTATTAAATGATTATTTATACCAAAGTTTACAGAAAATGTTCTCTGTTAATATTTATTTTGTTTTATTAAACATTTCTCTCAATGTAAGTTGTTTAAACAATTTCGTTTTTTCTATTAATACTGTCTCCTTGAATTTGTAGAGAGACATAATTTCTTGTTCAAGTCCTGTAATTACCATGTTAAAAATTACCCCTGAAATCTTAGTTGAAATCTTTTCATTTCATTGATCTCTTTATTACTTTCTTTCATTATATATCCGACACTTTTTTCTGGATTTAAAATCGTACTAGAGATTTGGCTTTTATTTGATTGTCATTGAAATGAAAACTTTGGTTATATCATCTTTTTTAACTTTTTTATAAAATTATTTATTTATTTATTTACATATTCCATTAACCTTAAAATTTTATGATTCTTTTCCATGACTTTTTTATCTGAGGTTCCGCTGGTGAAAAGTATACTGAGAGCCTTCAGATTTTTCAAAGTTTATTCTATTGAATTTTCAAAATTTCTGCTTACTGTAGTAAATTTAACCTTTCTCCTGTTTTGATTTGATGTTGATGAATGAATCATCAAGTGGCAAGCTGTCTGTTGTAGCCCTATAATAAACTAAGTTTCAACTCAACTGATTCATAGCTGCTTGGCCTCTAATTTATATCTTAACTCAAGGGAAAGGAAAAGTACTTTTAGCTCTTTGCAGAAAAATCACTTTTAGAACATCAAAAATGTATATTCTCAATGGTTCTAACCAACTTTGCAAACTTCTAAAACATTGCAAAGTTGGTAAGAAGTGACCAAACGTTACCAACTGGGGACAAAAATTTTCCCTAAGGCCTTTAGTTAAGTTCTGGTATATTTCTAGTTTTAAGTTAGCGGCTGATCTCTGGAATATGGTAACTGGTAGTTTGGCGACATTTTGGAGGCGATAAGGTTACTACCTAGGACTTTGGTAATAATGTGAGAAGTACTCAGTTCCGATTACACATTATTTTGTGTGAGGGAAATGAGAGATCATGAGATATGTCGGTACTTACGTATTATCGCAACCAGGTTGGCGCGATTTGTAAGTTTGAGTAAAAAAGTATGAATAGAAAGAAAATGTACATTTATTAATTACAGATAATTTTTAATACAGTTTTTTATATTATTTTGTTTTAAAATATAAAATAGCAATTAAACCCTTCCGGTTTCGAATTTGAATAAGTTGCAGAATTATTTTTTCGGTGGAAATCTTTTGGCTATTGCTTTTAGCACTGATTGAAAGCCGTATTTGCCATAACCATGTACACATCGACTTATATTTACTTAAAAAAACATCCCAGAATTGCACAAAAATGGCATTGCGCACACTCTTGACTTTATCCACGTACACTGCTTTTTCTCATAAATTACAAAAATTTGCATGAAAATGCAGGACAATTTTGTGAATCTCCACATGCTCTTTTTACAAAACTACGGATAACACGTAGGGTTGTCGTAAGTAGGGTCACCAAATTTGGCAATTTATGCGAATTTTGGCCTGGTTGCGTTAATACATAAGTACCGATATGTCATGTGACATTAATGAACGAATTACAGTTGTTTAATCGGAAAAGGGGGAAAATCTGGAAATTTCGTATTTAGCTATTCTGTGTTGTGTGAAACGTGACATTAATGGACGAATTACAGTTCTTTAATCGAAAAAGGGGGTTGATTTGGAAAAGCTTCATTGTGTGTTGTGTGAAATAGTGTTGATTAATTTTCGGATTGCATGGCGCTAAGTGAATTCTAAATTTTTAATTCTAAATTAAATTTTTAAATCTGTTAATAATAATAAGTTGAGATTGTGTGAAAGGAAGTATATTACAGTTAAGTTTAAATGGCGGTGCAAGAAATATGGGGGAAAATGGACATTTTGTGAAAAGGAGTGTAAGGAAGGGTACGTGGTTTGCTGAAAGTAGTTTGAGTATAGGTGAAATTTTATTAATTTCTTATTACTTGGTGAATAGACTTCCAGTTGACTACTGGATTTAGGATTTAGAAATTAGCAGTAGTACTGCAGCGATGTAATGAAGATTCTAAAGAAGATTAGGTAAGTTAGTATTTTTAATCATTTGAGGATATTATTTTTATGCGTTGGTCTAAATGTAAGGAGTAAATAAATTAATGTGGTATTATTGGAAAATTGTTATTAGCAATGATTTAGTTTAAAGTAATTAGGATTGTAATCTAATTTTTATTAATTTAATGTATGTGCTTATTTATATTTTAAGTAGTGTTTTTTAATTTAATTATATTTTAATTTAATGATCGTGATTTTGTGAGTTATATATTTGTAGTATTTTGGAATATGTTTGAGTAGTATACATTGAGTATTTTCATGCATTTTCGTGAATTTTTCTAATTTATGAGAAAAAAAGCAGTGTGCATGGATATAGTGAAGAGTGTGCGCAATGCCATTTTTGTGCAATTCTGGGATTTTTTTTTAAGTAAAAATAAGTCGACGTGTACATGGTTTAGTGATATTTTAATTAAATGATAGTTATTTTGTGAATTTTATATTTGTAGGAATTTGGTATACGTTTCAGTTGAAGTAAACGTGTATGGAAATAATTTAAATATTTGATACTAAGTATTTGTAACTATTTTTATGTTTGCATATAAATTTGTTAGTGACATTTGTAATATAATAGGTAATTTAGAGGTAAAAGCTTTTGGATATTTTATTTATTATATGTGTGGAAATCTTCATCCTTGGAAAGGGTATGCACTTTTTCGCGATCAGGTAATTTCATATATGTGCTTTTTATCGAGTTTAAAGATTAAGAAAATTTTCTTGCATTTTCGTGCAAATTTTTGTTATTTATGAGAAAATAGCAGTGTAGATGGATAAAGTTAAGAGTGTGTGCAATGCCATTTTTGTGCAATTCTGAGATGTTTTTTTAAGTAAAAATAAGTCGACATGTAAATGGTTTATGTGTATGTGCTATTCTGAAAAACGCGCAAGGAGTTTGCGATTCTGCACTTTTTCCGAATTTTGCAGTTAATATTTGTCATGATTAAGCAGTTTTGTTACATAAAATTTCTAGCATCAGTGTAATTCGGCTAGTAGATTGTTGGAAAAAGTTTTGAATAAATAAAAAGAAAAGAAACATGTCTTTACTTCGTGAAGACGAAATTGCGGCGAAAAAAAAATAGAGGGTTGCTGTAGCAGAGTTGGTCGTCAAAAAGTCGCCAAGTTACCATAATCCAAAGATCAACCAAGTTAGCCTTACAATTCCAATGTGAATTGACTTAGGATAAAAAAGTTTACAAAACACTACTCGAAGACCCTTAGATTCATCCAGTTAGGGATTCTGCATTAAAACTAGAGGAAGCCAAACAGATTCATATTCTCACCCATAAAAGGTACTCAAGACCTAAACCAGTAACAGGTGCCAACCTTTCCTCTTAACCATGATTAAATTCATGGACATTGTCTGGCTGTTGTTTATAGAAACAACAACACTAAATAAATAAACATGCAGAAAACTGGTGCACAATAATGCAAAAATATAAACAAACACAGATATTTATTAATATCACGATTTATTAATAACCGAAATGATCTACTATGATTAGATGCATATATTGGTAAATCATGTCTACATCCTTTCTGTGAAATATATAAAATATCAATATCTAAATAAGTGAATATTGATTTTTTTAGTATTTGATAAAATATTCATAAAGATTACTCTTCAGATCTGCAAGGTGATAAATGTTTGTATGCTGAGCTTTGACATCAGTAGCCAATCAAAACCTGATGTGATTAATTGTTTTGTAAAGTGATTAGATTTTGGCCTTTGACTGTGACATATATGCTTGTATGCATAAAATATTTTAGCCTAAGGATGATAGGTTTTGATGTCGTAAAAATTAAGTATGTTTATTTGTGTATAAATTTTTATGTAGATTACAAATACAGCAAAATTTCCCTAAACCCTACAGTTCTAGACAATTTAATTTCTTGTGCTGGTAATCATCTTAAAGAGATAATGTTTAGTCTACAGTCTGTCTATCATAAGAAAAGCTCTCGCCAGTTAGTCTGCAACTGTCTGTTGCCATAGAAACGAGCCTTGACCAATTTCCCATAGGGGTGTCTTGAAGATGAATGACAACTCTTTTTTCCTCAGCCAACAGTTGCTAAAATCAAAATAACAATAAAGCAATCCCTGGTTTGTCCCTATTTGAAATATACTAACCTTGTTGCTATAGCTACCGTCACCCACCTGAAACTATGGCAGGAGCTCTTCTTCTTGTAGACAGACAGTATATGGTATTTTCTCTCTCCTTTCTGCAGGCCTTCATGGTGTAATGAAAGCACACTTGGCACATGTTTGAGAGGTCTAGGGTTCGAGTCCCGGTGAGGGCATTTAAAAAAGTCCAATCCCCAGTCGCCATTTAAAAAAAGGAATATATAAGATATTGTCTCCCTCCTTTCTGCATGCCATCATGGTGTAACTATAGCACACCCACAGCGCGTATTTGAGAGGTCCAGGGTTTGAGTCCCAGCATGCGCATTGTAGATTTCTTCAATTTCCTTGCATCAAAATACCCTAGTGACTCTATCAGTGTCTATTTGTACTTTAAGAAATACGGATCATTTTAGAGGTAGCTGCCATGAGAGATTTTACATATAATGTATGAAGTATCTCCTGTAAACACATTTGTTAAAAATCTGTAAAATACAACCCATCTAATTCAGAAGTCAAACAACAAAAATCAGCGTTATATTTACAAAATTTTCACAGGACTGGTTTCGATGGTTTTACCGAACCACCATCTTCGGCTGCAAAACCGCAAATGATTTGCAGCCGAAGATGGTGTTCGGTACCACCATCGAAACTAGTCCTGTGAAAATTTTGTAAATATAACGCTGATTTTTGTTGTTTGAATTCTGAATTAGTATTTATTCGGCGTGTTATTGTGTCTTAATTACAACCCATCTGTTAGCGTTATACATATGTAAAGGAAGAAAACTATTCAAACTCTAAATATTTTATTCAAAAATAATCTTTGAATAAAATATTTATGAAAAAATATGAGCAAATGCATATGCAAACTGCTAAATAAGATAAAGTTGTATTAGCATAAAGTTGCTTATCATTTTGTAACTAATAATTTTATTTATCCCTTCTCAATCAGAACAACATTAAAACACTACTAATGTTTTGTATTAATAATGTATCAAAAACGTGTTAAGTGAGTGATTTTTCTTGTATAATTTCTCTTAGAAACTTCTTTATGAAAACGTATCTTAAAGAGAATAGAAAATATTTGTGACACTTTATAATTTAATCTAACCTAACCTTGACAATACATCATACCAGCCAACTTTTACGAATTTTTCGTAATTTTTACGAAAATGCGTTTGTCTTTACGATTTTACGATCGTAATCCATTTTTTACGATTTTTTTCCTTTTTCAAGTGTTTTTGGTGATTTTGTTGAAATTTTAGAATTTTTTCACCAATTCAGCGATTTTTGCCAATTGCATCATGTTTTATTCGCCAACTACCGACTACTTCGAATCCAGTAACTTGCGGTTCTCCCAACTCGCGCCTTAACCAGCTAATCCAATGCGCTGAACTTGTTTCTTCTCCCACACTTTCTTTGTGGGCGCCAAAATCTCCCCTGCTTATCCAATTCTTAATGATCTTTTGAAAGAACTTTATACTAAGTTTGTAAAACCGTCCATTGTGAAAAACAATGTGTTGATCGTGTTGCCTTATAATAGTTTGGCAAATCAAAAGGATGACAATGATCTTATAATTGGAAATCAAACCAGGGAACTTGTAAATTCTTTGAAAGATCATGAGAAAAAAGATTTTTTCAATGTGTTAGAAAGTACTTTTCCTCAGCCTGTGATTACATTGTAAGGAAGTTTCCTTTGCAAAATGAAGTTCTTTTAAATGCTGAAGTGGCAAATTTGAAACAAATTGGAAATTCATCTTTGAAAAGATTCGTTTTTTATTTATAAATTTTCCATTTTTGTTAACAATTAATGAAAATGAATGCCATAATGATGCTTTAGATGAAACTACGAAACCCATTTTCTACTGCACAGTTTGAAGACTTTGCCAATTCTAGAGAAGATAGACTTGAGTCCTCGTTGGTACCATAAAAGAATAAAAAGAGCTGATGGAACACACCAAAATATGATAAACTAGCAAGAGTTTTATATGCTATTCTCGTAATTCACACAGTAATGCTGAGTGCGAGAGAGTCTTCAGTGATTGAAGAAAACCAAAACTATGTTTCGTTCTTCAATTTCACCAAAAACTCTAGAAAACATTTTAATTGCTAAATGTTATGAGGAAACTAATTGTTATGACAGGAATTTTCCAAAGAATTTTTGGCTAAAGCCAAAAAATGCACTCTAAATTCATTGCAATAATTTTTTGGTAACTTAAGTTCTTGTTTTATGTTTCCTAATAAATTTTTTAGTTACTACTTAATTGAGATTTACTAATGTAGTACAATTTTCTTTTTTTCTATTTGTATAAATTATTATTTTTTAATATCAAAGCATGATATTAATTCTTCATGTTCTTCTGAATTTTGGAGAAATCTTCTGAATTTGTGGGAGAAATCTTCTGAATTTTTATCTTTAGAGGTTGGCAGGTATGCAATACATCCAAAAAAACTATCCTCTGTAGGTGCAGCAATATTTTATAATACAAGTGGAAATTTTATATGCTGTAAATCCTACTTATTTGTTTACTTACGTATTTGCTTAGATTAGTCTGTTTTGGGTATCTGTGTAGTGTCAAATGGCCAACAGTTAGAAGAATCCATTCTAGTGAGAAATAGGAGGGCTTATGTGAATAATTTATATTTTTCAGGTGTTAATCAATGAGTTGCATTTTATATGGAACAATCTATATGTCTGGAACATATTTTTTTTAAGGTTTTTTTGCATGAAATTCAAATTATAGCAATTATAATAATAAGAAACATTTGGTTTTAAAGAAAGGGCTAAAACCATTCAAGAAAGCCATAATTTGTGAAATAAATCTCAGTATTTTTATTATTTTCTAATAAAAACTTCTCAGTGTTTTGCATTGATGTTATTTTAAGTTAATATGTTTTATGATTTATTATGCTTTATTGCAGGAACATCAATTTTAATGATATTATTGTATGGATGGGCATCTATACCCTTCAGCTATTTGTTTTCATTTTTATGTAAGAAGGGCACTACTGGATATTCAATTCTAGAAGCAATTGCTATTTTATCTGGTAAGCTCTTTTCTTTTTATGTACGTAAATATTTATGTAAGTATACTTAACAGGATTGCAGCACAGAATCACACAAGATTTCACAAAGGACTGAATTGAATTTTTATTGAATTTCTATATTGTAGAGCAAACTAATAAAAACTGAATCAAAATCTGAGCACAACCTGGCTTTGTACAGAAGTGCTTAAATGTAACTTTGTAAACTGTTAATTCAGTAATCAGTAATCAAGTATTCCTTCAAATGTCCAAAGTGAGAATGATGACTGGAAAACAAAGCATTGCACTAAAATTTGGAAAACGTACTGTTGTTAATGGCAGCAAAAAGTTAATGTGAGAAAGTAACTAGTAATTGAAAGATGAAATAAATTTTCATTTGAAAAAAAAAAAAAAAAAAAAAATTATTTAACTTCACTGTCTCTGGATCTGAATTACATTTAGAAAGGGGACATAAGGAAATAAAATTGATGTCCGATTGCAGTTTGCAGTGCATTTAAAAGCAGCAGATATTGCATCAGGCTTAAAAATGGCATTCAAAACAATTGTTACTTGATCCTAATGAAGAAAAAGTCACAAAAAGCAAAATCCAGTTTTTTAAGTTTGATGATTCATTTCTTTAGTGTAGATGATTCTTTCTTTAGTAATGGAGAAAACTCCACTGTGCTTCTGGAGTTCCTTCTGTTTAGTGAATTACATATTTCCAAAATGACTTTTTATAATTTGGGTTTGGGTAGTTAGTAACTTCTTATTTATTATTCATAACAAAAATGTGTATTAATTAGTTGTTAAAAAGGACTGATGCTTATGGAAAGTATAATCCAAAGAATATTAGTATTCTGATTTCTGAAGCAGACAACTAGAAAATTAACTAAATAATTTAAAATAACTTTTGCTCATTATATTTCCTAACTTTTTTTAGTAATTGTTCTAGAGCTTTTTTAGAGAGATAATATAGTACAGTCAAAAGTCGTTAATTCGGACAACCCATAATTCGGAATGATCTTATAATCCGGACCTCAAAACTAAAAACGTTCTGCGCATGCGCCGCGTTGACACATGCGCATAGGGCGTTTACGTGTGCGCGTAAGACCTTTTACGACTGCACATTATGTGCGCAAGTGCAGAATCGTTTTCGCGTGCGCGTTTTATGTATAATGGACGTATAAGCTAAATAATTATGCTATTCAGTTAATGTTGATTGATTGCGTTGTTCCTTAATTTTCGAATTGGATCCGGCTTATTATTTTTTGCAGACTGTAAGAGCAATTTTATAAAGTAAGTTTAAACTTTCGATTATATCAAATAGAATTTTCCGATATATATTTTGTTAATATGTAAAGGATCTAAAGCGAAAGTATGTTTTTGAAATCCGAATCTTTTATCAATTCATGCTGCTCGGCGGTGGGAACGGCGCGGCGGGCGCGTAATGAATTGGAAGTTGATCTGTCAGCACTATCCTTATCTTCAGGGCAGATGTTTTATTTTTATTTGGCTTATAATTCCTTATCAATGTAGTTTTCATGTCGATGTGCTCCGTCTTTGAATATCATTTAAAACAAGTTCCTCGTCATTATAATTCGCTTCCGATAGCGAAGAAAGTGACAGAGGTTATTGAAAACGAAAAAATTTCGATTGACAAATTAGTCAGTATTCTCGACACAGCAATTATAGGACTTGAACAGCGGAACTTTGTAACTGAACAAGAAATTATGTCTGTTTAATAGAATTAAAGAGAAAGTATTATCACATGAAACGAAGCAAAACTTAAACAACTTACATTGAAAAAATGTTTAATAAAGTAAACAAATAATATTAAGCTTTTTCTTTTTGCAATTTTGATACCCTTTAGATCATAATTGTTCTTTATTCATAAATTACGGTTTCATATACTTTTAATTTTAGAATTTCTGCATGCCATCTTACGAGATTTAAACTGATGATCTATAATGCGGAAAAATCGATAATCCGGAATCGCCGAAGTCCCGACGAGTCCGGATTAACGACTTTTGACTGTATAAGTATAGCTCCATTATTAAATTTTTTACAAAAAATGTGATATTAATTCCATCCACAAATCTTATTTAATCTAAAAGTAAAAGTAATGATGATAACAGAAGGAATGTGATATTTTTAAATCGTCAATAGAGGCCACAACTTAATGTAATCACATGGGTAGGATTTTAAATTACGTTCAAAGGGGTGTTTTTTTTAACATTTTGTGTGTTACCTTTATTTATTAAATACAGTTAAAAGTCCTTAATCCGGACTCGTTGGAACTTCGGCGATTCCGGATTATCGTTTTTTTCGGATTATAGATCATCAGTTTAAATCTGGTAAGATGGCATGCAGAAATTATAAAATTAAAAATATGAAACCGTAATTTATGAAATAAAGAGCAATTATGATCTAAAGGGTATCAAAATTTACCAAAAAAAAAAGCTTAATATTTATTTGTTTACTTCATTAAACATTTCTTTCAACACGTGCATGCGTAAAGCATACATTACGCATAGCCAAATTAGAAATTGCAAACCAGAAACTATTTGATGTATATTCGTGATATTTATAATGACGAGGAATTTGATTTAAATCATATCAAATATGGAGTACATCGAGATGAAATACTACATTTAGTAAGAAATTATAAGCCGAATAAAATAAAAACATCTGCCCTGAAGATAATAATAGTGCTGACAGATCAACTTCCAGTTCATTGCACGCCGCGACGACCCCCCCCCCCCCCCCCCCGCAGAGCAGCATGAAATTGCTAAACAGAATTCAGAATGGTTAGAGAAACAAAGCATATGCCTTTACCCATTTTTTGCAGCAATTCCACTTTTTGTTTGATGGACATCAAAACATACATTCGCATTGTAGATCCTTTGGTAGCTCCAGAATTGGAAATTCTTTTTGACATTTCTTTTTTGTTAATAAAAAATTCGTTAAAGTTTTACAAAATATGAAATTGATAATAAAACAAATTTCAACTGAGTCTTCCAGATGCCCATATTCAGGTGGAAACATTCAATATTCAAAATTTGAGGGCTCTAGGTACTATTATGCTCTAGGTATCACAGTACAAAAAACGTACATGCATTTATGTAGATTCTTCATTATTTAATTTTTTTGATATAATACAGGGCGATAATATTCGGTGGCAACAATTTGAAAAGTGAAACAGCGCTTATAGTGAATAAATTTCATTTTCACAAAATGCCAAAATGAAATTAATAGTCCTTCTGGGCAAATTGTTCCTTTGGACCTAAAAAAAAAGGGGGCGAACAAGAAAAGGGGTAAGGGGGAAAAAAGAAAAAGAAAACTTATCATGGTATGTTTTTAGTTTTTTGAAGTACTTCTTTTATGAAATTGAAATATTTATTTTCATTTTCATTTTCATTTGAAATTAACTGATTTTTGATGAATATCGTGAGAAAATTTTTTTTTTTTTTTAGTTCTTGCTACTTGTTAATAAGTAGTTCTCCTTTCAAATTATAATTTATATTCATCCCTTTGATATTCAAGTAAAAAAATATCTGTTTTCATATCAGAAACTATTTGCCTTTGTTTAAAAAGCGAAGCAATGTTTTTCAGCTTCTTTTAAGAATCCTTTTCTAAATCTTTTTAGATTTCTGTCCTGCAAGGTAAGCCAAAGGCATTCAAAGAAAATATGGTTACCCTCTTTCCCGTTACACTAACTCTTAATTCTGCCATCTGTTCTTCACTTTGATCATTTTTGTTCTTATTTTGTGTCAGTATTGTGCATGTTCAAATTTTTGTATGACAAAGTTGAATTAAGGAAATATTGCTGTTAGGTGAGAAAAGCCTTAATATATCAGTATTATATTGATAATAATAGCATCATACTGATCTGCTATAGGAGAGATTTATTATTAAATTTGCTATCTAATTTCAATAATTTGTGGCTAAAAATCACCTCTGTCAGTCACTTCTTTCAAGCTTGAGTAATAATTAACAAGCAGATCTTGGGACCTATAAAATGTGAAGGGTCGTTCACCTTTCCTTTTTTTTATTAGTAATATTCTTTTGAAGTTTAGCACCTAATAGCAGACTGATTCCAAAATATATGATTACTCTAGTTAAATCTGATTCATCAATGTTGTTAACTTTTTCAGGTAAAAACTTAAAAATAATGAGATCATTCTTATATTAAGTTTCTGCTGTTCAAAAGTCTGCATACTTACCTGCATCATGAGTTCCTTTGCTAGGAATACTTTTGCCATTTTCTGCAACATGTGGATCATCTATCTGTAATAACAAAATCACCTTTAATTTTTTTTAGCTAAGTCATTTGCTTTCTTGTATATGCATCTTTATTATATGTGGAATGTTTCCAAAGTTATAGGAAATGAGCTTTAGTTCAATAATTTTTCAAATGGACAAGTGTATTTAATCAAACGGAGACTATGTTAAGAAATTGCATTGTAATATTGATGAAAAGTGATGAAGTAAAAAAAAAAAATTTCACATAAATTTCTAGAACTTTGGAAGCATCTTACTTAAGGTTGTTTATATATCTGGTGTAGAAACAACTATACTATTTTATTTCTATAACATAATGTGAATGATGGTATTCAGCCTGCATTAAGTGTATACAAGTGTTTATGGCTAATACTGTATTTTTAATGGTTAATAAGTAGACTAAAAATGGATTAAATGTGATATTAATATGTTTTAGTGGAAAAAAAATTTCAGAACATTTTACTGATTTTCAATTTTAATCTTATCTTTAGGATCATTTGCAGCTGCAGTATTGAGCTCCATTCAATTACTTTCACATGATACTCCTACAGTTGATCTTTTGATCTGGATCTTTCGTATTTTACCACCTTTTTGTGTGTCATCTGGTTTTTCTAAATTATTTGCTATTGCTTATAATAATGCATTTTGTGAGAGTATATCAAAAAATGATTTGGACTTCAGTTGCAGTTCAGACTCTATGACTGAGAATAGTTCATTGTTCAAATGCTGTAAAGGTATTTTTATTTCCTTGCTGTAACTCATGAAATTTTTTATTATGATTTCTTTTCTAGTAAATACATTAAACGTAATTTTCTTTTCTATATGAACAGATCTTTGTGGAAAGAACTGCTTGCAACAAACTGACCTCATAACCTGGGATGTACGTGCTTGTGGACGAGATATTTTGATGTTATATGTAGATGGTATAGTGTTTTCCTTAATTGTTTGCTTTTTAGAAACTGTTACTGCAAGAAAATTCATGGTTTATATTAAACAACATCTGCCAAGAAGGAAAAAAATAATTCAGGACCAAGAAGCTCTTAGCAATGTCCCTAAAGATTCTGATGTTATAGCTGAAGAAGAACGCATACGGAACATGCATTCTGATGCTGCTGCTAATGAAGCTTTAGTGGTTTCTGATTTGACAAAAATGTTCAAAGCATTATGTGCTGTTGATCATCTGACATTCAGTATTCACCAAGAAGAGTGTTTTGGACTCCTTGGAGTAAATGGAGCAGGCAAAACAACAACTTTCAGAATGCTTACAGGTGATTGCATTCCTAGTGATGGCAATGCTTTTGTTAAGGAATATTCTTTGAAGGAAAATTTGGAAGAGGTAAAATAATATATTTTATGATTTATATATTTTGTTATCATGTTTGATTTAAATTGGAGCTGAACATGCAATGCTTGTTTTCTAACAAACAAGCATTACATGTTCAGTTCTAACAGCCAAAGAGTAATGAACAGATAAAATTTTATTAACCTAAACCTAGTAATTTGTATTCCAGGAATGTTAAGAATATAAAAATAGACAGCATATTTCTTCTGTTTGTGTTTTCTGTGCTAAGATCTGAACTGAAAAATATCCAATATTTTGCTTCTTTTATTGATTTTTTCCCTCTTGAATTATGTACATATGTCTATGTATTAAAAACGACGCATATTTTTATATGTAACACATGCCGTAGAAGCATGTTCTATTGTCCAAAAAATATGGTACTTTTTACTGTTGTATTACAGCTCATCGCATGATGTGTAAAATGCTTAACTGTCCTGTGAAATATTCCCTATTTCAAATTTCATAGGAGAAAAATAGAAATGATATTTGAATTTTTGAAAAATTTTTCTAAAATGTTGTCAACTTCTAGAGATTTCCTTCAGAGTTCTTGAACTTTCTCGAAATTTCCTGCTCACTTAATTAAGGCTGTACCCATTTTAAACTCACAGTAGAGCTCACAGGCATGTTTTATGACATAGTTATGTTGAATTAACCATTCTTCTTCAATAACTGTATCCATGCAAATATTTAGACAAACTTAATAGAATTGAACCATATTTTGCCATAAATGTACTATGAATGAATATTTTTCTGATGAACTCATCTTAGACAGCATTTTGGTCTTTCTACACCTTTTCATAAATTGTCTTGGGTTCCAAGTCATGGTTTTATATCACAGTTTAGCATATCTTTTACTGTCTCATTGCTTAATCTAAGTTTTCTTCTTTGGCTACATATATAGTTCAGAAAAGAAAGCACACTTTCAATATCTCTGAAACATTTGAACATTTCAGAAAAATTTCATACCTGTTAATGATATGCAGTAACATTCCTCACAATATTATAATTTTTTAAATATTTTAGATATTATTACCAATTGAATAATTCAAACAATGCAACTGTGTAGTTATCTTGGCATTCATTATATTAATATATGACTGTGTTTGTGTAAGTAATGCATTTCATAAACCTTTATGTAACTTGAATTTTACATAAGTCAAGTTAGTAAATCATAATCAAATTTAACTTTGTAGGAACCTGCAGTATTTATTATTATTATGTGTATATTGTTTATACAGTATCATTTTACAAATGAAACATCATTCTGCTGCATTTAATCAGATATGAACTATAAAAGAATATAAAAACAAACTGAATAAATACTTTTCAAATAAAAAAAGTCTTGTGATAGCTAACTTATCTGTATAAGGAGACAGTTGCACTATTGCAAAATTCAGCTTGTTTTTACCTAAAATCTAATCTTGCGATTCAGTGTATTTTTAATATTCTAAGTGTCAAAGCAGTATCAAAAGGAACTTGAAGATTTGCAAGACACATACTTATCTTTAATTCTGCAGGCACACATATAGTTACATAAAATCCATGTAAATCATTGTAGAACACTCAATATATGAATTTAAAGAAAATTATCAAATATCAAACATAATTATTTAAATCAAACATTGAACATTTCTTTCCACAGCATCACACATAAAGTTCCAAGCTTCACTACTGTTGCCAAATTAGGAATCAAAACATAAAAAAGAATTTTGAATACCACAGCACCTTCTTGTGTGGTGCCTCTGCAGACAAATGATGTTTTCTGAATACTTCTACCACTGTGTTAGGTTGAAGGCTGAGGATAGATGGGATCATCAGAGTTATCAATTTGGTGTGATTATGAATGGATTCTCACAAGCATGCTTAGAACAGAGTATGTGGTCACATGCATTTTATTATCATAAATGGTCTTGATGTTAAATAAATTAAAATGGGTACAGTTTTGTTGTAAATTTCTAATGTCTGGAATTGACAGTTTTGTTGGCATATTATTTTCTTTTCAGAATTTCAGAATGCCTCAAACTGAATATTGTCATCATTACTAAACTGTTTATTGTGATTCAGTTGAAACTCATTAATGTTAGTGTTATCTACTTTCAACTGGTATTGCCGTGCCAGTTGTACATATGTCTCTATCACTTGCTGTAACAGTTTCATGTTCAGTATTACTCAGTTTCAAAAACTGTCCTGTTATCTATTCTATGTTTGAAACCCAACAGTTTCAGTTTGAATATTACATCTTTTGCACCCTTATGTAACTTCAAATTTATGCAAGTCAAATTTATGTATAAATAATAAAAGTAAATTATGATTATCTAATAAAAGAATATTTAGGGCTTTTGATCAAAATAGAGAAAAAGTGTTCATTTTTTGATAAAATGGTGATATGCCCATAAAATGTTAGATAATGGTATTTTCCCATTCAAAAACAGTATGTATGATCTGCCTAATTAATGCAGTATGTCTAATAAATGCTAATCAGTCTAATTAATGCCAGTATATGTTTTACTCTTGAATGAGGAATTTGAAAAGAGTGATTATTAATTAAAAATCAGTGATTATGGTGAAGTATTTTTTTTATTTCAAGATTAACAATATGAACTATTTATTTCTTTGGTAGCATAAACTGGTATTGACTCTAGCAGACTGGAAGTGAATTTTAGCTTGATCTGAAGTTAATGGCAGAGTCTTGGGAAAGTTTTAAAACAAAATTTTTCATTAAATCAGATCTTGAACATTTCCCATGCTCACATAAGGCAACTCGTGACAATGAAACTTAAAATAATAGCCAAATACAAGATTTCAAACTAAATATAGTGGCTGAAGACTACACAATTGATTTAGTGTGAAATTGGCTCAAAATTTCTAACAAGTGTAATAATTTAAATATCAGCAACTAAAACCAAAGAATATAGCATTATCTGAGCTAGCTAAACCTAATGTCATGGCCTCAGGGGACAGAAACATTCTATGTCATACAATCTGAAATTCTCACCTTAAATACTGAGATCATTTGCATTCTGGCAGGGAAAGGGAAAGAGAAGTTACAGTAAAGATCTAAATCATAAAATAACTAAATTATTCAAAATAATAATAACCCTATAAGTTGAATGCTATTTATAATATTTGAATAGTAGTTCAGCTCTTCCAGATTGCTATGTAGTCAGAATCTAATCTTTGCTTTGCTAAATTTATCAGCATTGATGTATTTTGATGACTGAACTTTAGTAATTCAAATATCCCACGAAAAAAAAAAAAAAAGGTGCAACCATTTATGAAGAACAGATTAAAGCAAAACCTATTTATGAGAATTATGTTCTGCTTTAATCTGTTCAGCATTCAGCACTAGGGATTCCATGATAATTGCCAGAAACTAGAATATTTTCTTATTTATTTTATAAAAGAAGGTGAAAATGAAGGGCTTCTCATAAAATTTTCTATGTGAGAATTCAATGATGCATTATTTGTATCGTAAGCAGGATGTAGTCAATCTTTATTAAAAAATAAATAACAAGCACAATGTCACAACATTCATTACAAAAATGCCTAGTAGCTAACCAAAATGATCAATGAAATACTTGGTGTGTCACTGGCTGTTTTAAAAAGGAAATGAATGACACTTTACAGACTTTTAATGAGTTGATAGCTGTACCCTAGGAAGTGGAAGAGTTCCTGGCATTTCTCCAACAACTGCGTAAAAGGATCTGAAAGTTTTACAACTGTTATATTAAAAATGAAAAAAGAGAGAACTCTAGATGGCAGATTGACTGCTATTATTTACTCAGAGGAGTAAAACTACTGAAAATGAATGTAAAAGCTATGTCTGTTGAACTAAAATATAGTAGAACTGTAACTTCTTTGAAAATTACACTGATGAGTAATTGAATTAATGATAGATGGCGTTAAGCACATTTTAAGCTGTATGCAAGTCTGGAAGTTACTTGCAAATGACATAAACAGCAGTATGGGTAAGAGTACGGATATAAGTGCATTTAATCGGGGCCCGACGAATGGGTGCCTGCATTTCGGAAGTAGTGCAGAGATTCAGATTTTCACATACCACTGTATCAAGTGTGTGTTTTGAGTATGATTCTGGTAAAACCATCCTTGCAAGCAACAGCAACGTAGGAATGACCAAGATTGGCGGTGGCTAGCCCGCACTGTAATGGCAGATAGACGGGCCACAGTGCAACAGATCACCCGCCAATTTAATGCTGGTGCACAGAAATGTGTAAGCTGCCACATCATGCAAAACCTCCTCCTCTCAATGGAGTACAGGATTATAATATATATATTATATAATATTATAATCATCTTATAAGAGTCCCTCTGCTGACTGCACAAAACATAATCTAATGATTAACATGGGCACGGGAACATCGCCAATTAACCATCGAAATATGGAACGATGTTGCCTGGAGTGATGAGTCAAGAGTCACTTTGGTATGTTCTGATGGTAGAGTATGTGTATGAAGTAAAACACATGAAGTGATGGGTCTTTCCTGCCAGGAGGGAACTCTTCAAGCTGGTGGAAGCGGTATTCTTGTCTGGAGAGTGTTTGCATGGACTGAAATGACACCCCTAGTATGTTTGATATCATGTCTCACAGGTGAATGTTATTGGAATATCCTTGACAATCATCAGCTTCTGTATCTTCGTTTTCGACAGCCCACTGCAGAGATTATCTTTCAACAAGACAATGCACCATGCCATCACTTGCGAATTGTATCGGAATGGTTGGATGAACATTCCACCAACCTGCACGTACTTTCCTAGCCATCAAGGTTACACCTGACCTAAATCCAGTTGAGCACATCTGAGATGCAAGAGGGGAAAATGTTCGAGGCTCTGACCACCTTCCATCTAAACTTCGGGAATTGTGAGAGGTTGTTCAAGAGTCGTGTATACGTATGGCTTCCCATTACTTGCAGTGTCTTGTTGAGTCTATGCCGAGACGAATCACAGCTGTCATCAAGGCAAAAGGTGGTGCTACATGCTATTAGGCATGTATCCCAAATTCATTTGCTCTTCAGTGTCGTATTACTGGAGGGGTTAAACAGACTAGCTACTAAGAAATTAAAAAATAAATAAGCAGATAAAGAAAGGCTATGTAATTAAAAAAGAAACCTCCTAAACATTATTTAAAAAAACTGCCAATTTCGGGGGCTGTCATGAATGAATAAAGTAAGTGTGTTTTAATACCATAAGCGATCTGAGTGTCATATCTGTGATATTTATATTTCTAAGCAAGCAAGCCAAAAATGTGCTTGGTTGGAAGTTAAGTTTAGGATTAATTTCTTGCATAAGAGCATCGCTGTAGCAGTGTTTTATCAGATCTTGTTATGCTCAGTCTTGAAGAGCCTTTTCAGATAATATTGATAGGCCTGAATGTGAAGACTTGAGGCTATTGCCGTATCCAGATTGTGAATGAATAAAAGAAGAGAAAGTTTTAAGGTCATACAAAAAATGATATCCAAGATTTTGAGAGTGAGGAAAGAGAACTGTTGAAAAGAATGGTAAAATAATTGGAGACATTGATTTTTGCAAAAAGAAAATTACCATGAAAAGAAATCAGCTACTGTGCAAGTATCAGCGATTATTGTATGACACTTAAGATGTCATTATAGGCTTCTTGTGAAAGGAGCATTCAAGAATATGATTATTTTTTAATCTACTTGCACAATCACTTGAACAATTCATAAACTCATTGAAGATAGAATATTCGGGCAGAATAGAATAGAAATTTTATATCATCTTAATGTAATTTGAGAGAAAATCTATTACAGTCAAAAGTCGTTAATCCGGACTCGTCGGGACTTCGGCGATTCCGGATTATCGATTTTTCCGGATTATAGATCATCAGTTTAAATCTCGTAAGATGGCATGCAGAATTCTAAAATTAAAAGTATGAAACCGTAATTTATGAAATAAAGAACAATTATGATCTAAAGGGTATCAAAATTTGCAAAAGAAAAAAGCTTAATATTTATTTGTTTACTTTATTAAACATTTTTTCAATGTAAGTTGTTTTAAGTTTTGCTTCGTTTCATGTGATAATACTTTCTCTTTAATTCTATTAAACAGACATAATTTCTTGTTCAGTTACAAAGTTCCGCTGTTCAAGTCCTATAATTGCTGTGTCGAGAATACTGACTAATTTGTCAATCGAAATTTTTTCGTTTTCAATAACCTTTGTCACTTTCTTCGCTATCGGAAGCGAATTATAATGACGAGGAACTTGTTTTTAAGTGATATCAAAGACGGAGCACATCGACATGAAATACTACATTTGATAAGGAATTATAAGCCAAATAAAATAAAAACATCTGCCCTGAAGATAAGGATAGTGCTGACAGATCAACTTCCAATTCATTACGCGCCCGCCGCGCCGTTCCCACCGCCGAGCAGCATGAAATTGATAAACAGATTTCGGATTTCAAAACATACTTTCGCTTTAGATCCTTTACATATTAACAAATATATATCGGAAATTCTATTTGATATAATCGAAAGTTTAAACTTACTTTTATAAAATTGCTCTTACAGTCTGCAAAAAATAATAAGCCGGATCCAATTCGAAAATTAAGGAACAACGCAATCATCAACATTAACTGAAATAGATAATTATTTAGCTTATACGTCCATTATGCATAAAACGCGCACGCGAAAACGTATTCTGCACTTGCGCACACTCATATGCGCAGTTGTAAAAGGTCTTACGCGCACGCGTAAACGCCTATGCGCATGTGTCAATGCGGCGCATGCGCAGAACGTTTTTAGTTTTGAGGTCCGGATTATAGATCATTCCGAATTATGGGTGTCCGAATTAACGACTTTTGACTGTACTGATCATCACGTACACAGTGGTAGCTTTTATTTCCGGTATGCTATATTTAAAAGCACCTCATATGTAAATAATTTTACAAACTGGCTTTATAAATTGATGCCCTTACCCTTATGAAAGGTCTTAAATGGGCATTAGTAATTGTAGCTATGTTGAAGCTATTCAAGAGGACAGCCTTTGGCTGGATAATAGAAAAGATTAAGAACAGAAGAGTTAAAGAAACATGAAATTTCTTCAAGGTTTTCTATTCATAACAATGTTTATCTTGAAAGATATATAGCTACATTTATCCAAATTTTAATGCTGATTTTAGTTTATCAACATTTTCAGATCCACTGCAGTTTATTTTGTAAAAAAAATCATTGAAAGTTTAAACCGATAGAAGTTTTTCCAAGCTATTTAAGTAGTATACATAGCATGTATCCTTTTAGTAATTTATGATTGTTTAATAGTTAAATACATAGAATAAGAACACATAAGGTATAAATTATCAAACATAAAATTTACAAAATTATACAGTACAAAGTCCGTAATCCGGACTCGTCGGGACTTCGGCTATTCCGGATTAGGGTTTTTTCCGGATTATAGATCATTAATTTAAATCTGGTAAGATGGCATGCAGAAATTATACAATTAAAAATATTAAACCGTAACTTATGAACTAAAGAGCAATTATGATCTAAATGGTATCAAAATTTACAAAAAAGAAAAAAAAAAAAAAAAAAAGCTTAATATTTATTTGTTTATTTTATTAAACATTTCTTTCAATGTAAGTTGTTTGCTTCGTTTTTTGCGCTAAACGCGCATGCGTAAACATTAAACGCGCATGCGTAAACGCATTACGTGCATGAAGAGAAATTATGATCTAAAGGGTATCAAAATTTACAAAAAGAAAGCTTAATATTTATTTGTTTACTTTATTAAACATTTCTTTCAATGCAAGTTGTTTAAGTTGCTTCCTTTTTTGTGCTAAACGCGCATGCGTAAACGCATTACGTGCATGCGTGTAAAGCATACAAAATAAAAGTTTGTGGCTTTGAGGTCCGGATTATAGATCATTCCGGATGATGGACGTCCGGATTACTGACTTTGTACAGTTTATACATTTGTAATTTCGGTATGTATCTTACCCATTATTTTTTTCACTAAAATATTATTGCTTCCAGTTTGAATTATATTCTGTCAATCTTCTTTCAGTTTCAGTTTTTCATTGGATATTGTCCTCAGTTTGATGCCCTTATTGATCGCTTAACTGGCCGAGAAACGCTTGAGCTTTTTGCTTATCTTAGAGGCTTATCTGGACAGGATATTGTAGAGGCAGTTAATATGGTAATCAAATTGACAGATCTTTCTGAACATGCTGACAAGCAGACTCAATTTTACAGGTGTGTATTTAATTTTCCTTGTGGCATTTTTTTCCAGCATTTAGTATGAAATCTAATTATATTTGTTTGTATTACTTTAGTGGGGGAACTAAAAGGAAGCTGTCCATTGGAATTGCATTAATTGGGTCCCCTCCTTTAATCTTTTTGGATGAACCAACTGCTGGTGTTGACCCTGTCTCTAGAAGAAAAATTTGGGCTGCTTTATCACAGGTTAGAACTAAAACTGGAGCAGCAGTTATTCTCACCACTCACAGGTTAATATAAATTTAATTTCATAAAGTCATTTGTTTACTATGATAATGCTTTAAAAAAGAGAATAAAGAAGGTTTGAAAAGGCTTGACTTTTTAATTTTTTTGATAAATATAAAAGACTTATTCTTTAACTCTGATCCTGATATTTTGCTTTAATCTATCTACATATCTAACATTGCTACCAGCTCTCCCGATTTCACCAGGAAAGTCTCTAGAAATAAATTAAATGTGCATGATTACTTTATTTCCATTCCCTAGTGATTTTCATAATGATTTTTCATATTAAATTTTATTTAATCTGAACTAATTTAATCTTTTGGAACCGTTTGTAGGACTTTTTATGAAGCCTTAGCTAATATTTAATCATATTTATATTTAATTATACTTTGCATCAATAAATGGTGCATTACTATTTTTATCCACACAAAAGTGTGTACATTTATTGATAGTTTTATTTTCATCATATTTAAAATACACTGCTGGCCACCCAAATTGCAATACCAAGAAAGACAAGAGATATCACAACAGAATTTATTTAGTAGATAGCATGTTGACCAAGTATCAAATGATTAAATTTATAGAATTCTGTGAAGTGTGGTTCCTTCCAGAATCAGTAGCCAGAGTAGCCGCTATTGTTGGAGATCACTGCTGACGCATCGGCATTGATTCAAAGAGACTTTGGATGTGTTCTTGAGGTACAGCACACCAAGCAGCTTCCATAAGTTGCTAAATTTGATCTGGTGTGGCAGCTTGGGATGTAATCTGGATCAATCGTTCAGCATCCATGGACCACATGTGTCCTATCAGGGAAAGATCCGGAGAGCGAGCCGGCCAGGGAAACAATTCAGTCTGGCGATTGACCAAGAACCTTTGGACAATGCGTGCCATGTGTGGTCGCACATTATCCTGTTGAAATATGGCTTTGGGCAAGCTCTAAAGGTAAGGAAGGATAACTGGATCCGACACCTCAGAGATGTAGCACTGGTTGTTTAAAGTACCGGCAATGCGTACTAGAGGAGTGTGAGAGTGATATCCAATACCGCCCCATGCCAAAATACTTGGTGCAGGACCAGTGTGGCTGTACATAATGCAGCTGTTCAGCATCCTCTCTCCACCCACGGTGTCTCCAGACTCGAATCCGACCATTGTGGTGTTGCACACAGAAGTGTAACTCGTCAGTAAAGACAATTTCATTCCATTCTGCTGTCTACATCCTTCTTTCATCGCACATTTGCGGCGGAGACGTCTGTGGTTCTGCGTCAAGAGTAGACGAAGCAATGGACGTCTTGCGGACAGACCACTCTGCGGTAAACGGTGTCAAATGGTACGCACAGACACTGGATGATGCATTACAGACTGAACGTGCTGTGCTATGGTTCGTGATATGACTGAGCAATCCATCACTGCCATGCGCACAATGTTCCTGTCATCACCCTAAGTGGTGCGCTGAGGTGGATGCGATCGAACACATTGGTCCGTCGTACCCTCCTGCATCCAACGGTCACATATCCGCATTACAGTTGTATGGTTTCATCCAACACAATTACCGATTTCCCTGAAAGATAATCCACACTCTCATTAGGCCACTATCCTTCCTCTGTCGAACTCAGATACTTGATCAAACGATGATCGCTGTTTACTACAAGGCATAAGTGATCTTTTTTTTTTTTTTTTTTTTTGAAAAAACCACAAGAAAAACACAATTGCTGAACTTGAAATCCTCAAAAACTCCAAGCCTTAAATAGCACTTTGAAGTGGCGTTACAGGTGCACATTATGTGCATCTGTGCTGAAATTCTAATCATTTGCATATCTCACCTCCGCTAATGCATGCTGTAAATTTCATGTTATTTGCTTGCTTCCTTCAGGGTTTTGCATTTACAGGGGCCAGCAGTGTATTTTATTTTGTTATATTTTGATAAATGAAAATTCTCCTTTGCTCAGGATTTTGCGTAAAAAAAAAATTACAAAATGAAATTAGCCATAGAATATTAAATATAGCATATCTGATTAATTATTAATATTCTTTTTATCAGAATTGCATGATAAATGGTTCAGTAACGTGAAAAAGTAACATTATAAAGTGAATTCAAGTCAGTTTGGAGTTCTTTTTGAAATAGCTTTGTCGGGGTGCTGAAAAATGACAAGAAACTGAAATAAAGGTATAGGCTGTGAAAAGACTTGACTCTCATAATAATGATTTGACAAGTAACCTTGAAAATATTTACTTGAGAAACATTACATGAAACAGTCACAAACTGCAAAGTATTATAGACTGTAAGCAGCCAGAAAATATATATGTGGAGGCACATAAAAACAAAATTTTGTTTCTGAAAGTTAAGGAAAAATTGTTTAGTTACATTTTTTATGTCAAAGATTATTGAAAGGATTTAAATCTGAAAGGGATCTGGTTGTTTTTTTTAATCTGAGTCACTAATCATTTGCATGCATGAAATTTATTTTTCCCCAATGGCAAGGCAAAAAGTTACAGAGAACTAAAATCTTACACTTAGAGGATTACAAACAATATAACTAAGAACAAAAAGACCGAAGACATTGCCTAAGGAGTGCTCTTGTCTCCGAGTATCTCAACTCTGTAAGACCACGAGAAGCCCCACATGGGAGCAGGTGGTCCCTGTCCATTTCTTCTCCAGAATTAAGAAGTGGGCAAATCGAATTGCTTGAAATGCCTATGCGGTGAAGGTGGGCGGCAGGGCAATCATGTCCTGCAGACAGACGGAAAGTTGCAACTGCATTGCATCTTGGACTATCGGTAATAAGAGAAGGGCTTATCATTCTCCAACTTTTTAATGCTGTACGAGTCTGAAGACCTTGTAAGATATTAGACATAAATAAACTTCTTAAAAAAGTTTAATCCTCCATTAAGAAATGGCTGTATTGTAGTAAGCTGGCACCTCGTTTTGCAAGTAAGTCCACTTGTTCATTGCCACAATGGGCTGGCCCTCACTGGAGAATGATATTTGTTTTCTCTTTAAAGAGATAGCTCTCAGGAATTCTTGACATTGCAAAATTTCAGGTATTAATGGGTGTTCCACAGAGCTAATTGATTGAATGGCTGCATGAGAATTAGAAAAAATGACTACCTTTGAAAACTTGTAATGAATAGCTAATAATTGCTGTAGGGCTATGCAGATGGCTGCTACTTCGCCATCAAAGGAGATACCAATCCATCCCTCAGGAGGAAAGAAAGAAAAGAGATTCGAAAACACACCACCCCAACCTTAAAAGGAAAGTCAAGCTGAGAACCATCAGTAAAAAATGTGCAGCCATTGAATAGGTGGATATCTAGTTCCAATGGTCTCCAAAGTGAGACATTTTGAAAATGCTTGGTGCAACATCCCTCTTTCTATGGATGATTTCCACTAGGTCTAGCCTTACTTCAACATTAATCACCTCCAAAGGGCTTCTGGTACTCCAAAGGGTAATCAATGAGGTGTCCACCAATAACATTGTGGACGAAAACGTCGTGCTACAAAACATCGCAGTTCTAAAACATCGTGGTACAAAACATTGTCGTCGAAAATAAAGCGGTTAAAAAACTTCGCAGTTTAAAAACATAGTCGTCGAAAATATCGCGGTAAAAAATAAAGTACCTACAAATCATCGCATGACCATAACATCGCAGACATGCTTTATTCAGGCTTTAATAATTGTAAATGGATATTCCCATAATGATTTGTGAGCGCGAGATGGAAAGAAAGATAATTTTTACTTTCATAGTTTTTATTAACTAATAAATTTTTGCTGATAAGGTAAGAAGGAAACTTAAGCATAGAAAATTAATGCGACTTAATAGCACTTAACAGAATTTTAAACCGACATAGTTAACTAGCAAAGGTCATCAATAAATTATTTTTTATAAAGTTTTTACTGGTAATTAATAATGAAAAGTGTAATCTAAAAAAGATTAGGAAAAGGAAGGTAAGTAACTGCGTGACCTTATTTATAAAAAAAATTGCTAACTTAATTGTGAGATTATTTTCTTCACTTTTGTTAACCTAATACTCTTATAATGAAAATTATTTCTTGTTTTGCTTCAGTTTATTCTTAAAGTGTTATTAAAAAGTTTCATGCACAGCGTGCAGTCAGTTACTTGAATGTCAATTTGTTAGTTATGACAAAAGTCAGCTACATAATATTTTAGTAGGGTTTGAATTTACTAGATTATGCCAAAGCACACTACGGCTATCTGCTTAAGGGGTGGGATACCTTTGTGGAGTACATTCTCAGGAACTGGTTCATATACTTTATTCATTCATTATACTTTAGAAAAATCCCGAAAATCTTCACGCAGCTTTTTGTTTGTTTGTTTTTTGTTTCTTAGAAATAATGTATACTTGCAGTGAACCTTCTTGGTAACTATCTCCCTAAGACAAACAGTGTTTTGATCATTATGCAGGTTCAGCACATTCAGACAAGATTTAAAAAATGCAAAATTTTGAGTGGTTGGTTTAAATTGGATTGCTTAAATTTACTTTTAGATTTAGACATTTCTTATTAGCACTTTAAAAGTATTATTTAATTTTTCATATACATTTTATTCAAAAATTTCGTAGTTAATTACTGAACTTACAGTGACCAACTTCCTAAGACAATTTTAATGTTTTTCTTCGGTGTTTCTTAATTTTCAAAATATTTTAATTTATGCACGTGACTAATTTTTCTTGTAAACTTTTAATTAAAGATAAAATTTAATGAAATAAAAGCTTAATTTCTCTTAAATTGTTTTCAAGGATTAAAAACTGTACACATTTTACATTGACTTTTATTTTCAGTGACTGAAATGTTTGAAGTACATTTTTTTTTTTTTTTTGTTTGTTTGTATTTAAATGACAAACACTTTGGAATAAGAAACTATGATATTTTTATGTATCATTTTAAATGTTTTATAAACATAGGATTTTGAATAACAAGCATAACTAAATTTTAAAATCCAGGTTTGCTTCGTGCATGATTACTTTTAATTAAAATAATCAGAAAGA